AAACTAGAGTCTGACATAGTCTTTGCAAAGTTACAGACCGATGCAACGTTAATTTTTTGTAACCTCTGATTGACGTAACCTAGTGTCATTACCACTGACATGAATTACAGTCTTACAGTACCTAGTATTATCATTAGCCAGTAGTTTCAGATAGGATTCCAAGTCGCCCGCTCTGGCTCTTGGAATGCATTATCATGGTTGTTGGAGTCCCTATATCCACATTTCGGACTAGGGAGCTGCCAATAACCAGGGTCTGTTTCTCAGCCGGAGTGTCACTGAGTGAGGAGAATCGATTAGAAACTTCAACGGTTGACTGTCGGGAAGTTTAGCTTTAACACTGTGCTTTTTCCAGGCTGTCACCCAGCTAGCTCAGGGTGGTGGACTCACGGGATCCACAGTGCGTTCAACACAATTCAGCCTGCTCTCCTGGGGAATAAAATAAAAAAGATGCAAGTGGATGCCCCCCTTGTGTCCTGGATTACGGACTACCTGACTGGCAGGCCACAGTATTTACGACTACAGAACTGTGTGTCTGAAAGTCTGGTCAGTAACACCGGAGCCCCACAGGGAACTGTCCTCTCTTCATTCCACTTTATGCACCACGGACTTCCACTATGGCACAGAGAACTGCCATTTTCAGAAGTTTTCTGATGACTCAGGATTAGTTGGATGTATCAGCGGTGGTGATGAGGACGAGTACAGGACAACAATGAAGGATTTTGTCTCCTGGTGCGAGCTGAACCACGTACAGCTCAATGTGGCCAAGACAAAAGAACTGGTGGTGGATCTGAGGAGGAACAAGACACCTTTGACCCCTTTGTCCATCAGATGGGTCAATGTAGACACAGTGGAGGATTATAAATGTCTGGGGGTGCACAACAGGAYTGGGTCAAAAACACAGAGGTCGTCTATAGCAGGGCTATTCAACTGGAGGCCCGCGGGCCACATCCGGCCCCCAAGTGACCAAAGTTCGGCCCGCTAATTGGTTCATTCATCTCTTAAGCCCAAAACCCAGGTTTTCTACTTTAATTACTCGAAGTTCTTTTAGTTAAACATAGACTTGCTTGGTATCTACAGAAATGTCAGAATCTTGGCTACAAGCTGGTAAAAACCATTTGTATGAACACCCAAGACAGTTAAAACTACAAGCAGTTGAAGATAAAACTATGAAAGTGAAAATAAAATTGGTTTAAAATTTTGGTAAGTCAGAGMTGTCAAAATATTATTTGTGGTAAATAAGAGGCAGAATGTGTTCTTTTTGTTTTTGTTTTATTATGACTTCTTTTATTACATAGGTTTGTGTATATTGTATGTATTCATAGTTAAATGCAGTAAAATAAACTGTTTCAAAGGTAACAGATCTTGTAATAGTTGGTTTCTTTACATAATGACTTTAATTGCTGGATGTTCGGTCCCTGTGCCATTGGCCTGCAGTAACTGTGGCCTCCAGAGAAATTTAATTGAATAGCCCTGGTCTATAGGAAAGGCCAAAGTCGTCTCAATTTTCTGAGACGTCTGAGGTCCTTTAACATCTCCCAAACGATGCTCAGGATGATGTTGTGGGARTAGAGCTGGACTCCCTGACAGCAGTGTCAGAGAAGATGCATGGACAATGTTTACCATCCTCTCTACAGAAGCACATTCAGCAAAAGACTCATTCCACCAAAATGCAMCACAGAGCGCTTCAGGAGGTCCTTCCTACCAGTGGCCATCAAACTCTATAACTCCTCCCTAAACATGTGAAACTAGATCACCTGTACATTTACATTTATACATTTGTACATTTTTATTATTTTTAGCCTTTGTTTTATATTAAATTTACTCTATTTTACCAGTGACACTCACCAAACGTGCAATATACCATGCTGTACACATTTTCTTAATATTTCTATTTATTTTTATTTTACATTGTTTTTGTGTATATAAKTGTACTTATTTTGTAATCCTCTGTGTTTATACATATTTTATTCTAGTGTGCTTATTTCTTTTCACATTTCTCTGATCTGAACGGTTGCAGCTGTAATACCTGTACTTTCCCTCGGGGGTCAATAAAGTAATAAAGTATTTTCATTCTGATTCTGATTGAATACTACCATTGTGTGTAATTAAACATTGCATATTCACATGATATTGAAAATTTTGCGTTGTAAAGACACAAAATGGTGTAGTAATGCTGTGATCTACAGCATGGACACAGCATTCTTACATCCACAATCGACACATAGTAAAATGGCCTTTAAGTACACAATAGCACCAATAGGAGATGTCCAATCCAGTAATACAGTATATATAAATGGAGCTGACATCTTGTCACGTTTCTCTGAGGTGTGTGTGTGTGTGTGTGTGTTTGTTTCAGGAGGCACAGTTTACCAGCCAGTCACAGTTGTTACTCCTCAAGGCCAGATGGTAACTCAAGCTCTGTCACCTGGGACAATACGTGTCCAGAACAATCAGGTACCACAACTGTAGTTTAAGTTGATTCTTATTAAGGAGGACAGGATCATGGGTAGAGGGAGTCCACCAAAGAGGTTCCAGTGCTAGATTAGGGCAAGTGTTCGATCTGCTTCTTAATTGGTTTAATAAACCTTACTTCGGTTTGTCTCTTTGATTGTATTTAAGTGCTATTTATTAACACCGTTTTAAGCAGTTTGTGAACGCTTTGCTAACAGGCATTTCTGATTGCTGATATTGAGAACCTATGATGTACAGTATGCAACACAAACTCTGTGCAGAAAAAAATCTTTGTTGCTAAAATGTTAYGGAAAATAAAAGATAAAATCATAAAAAAAATTGTGAACACTGAATAACCTCAGAATTAGGGCTGCRCRGTATATGTGATAGACGGTAGAAACGATATGAAGTTGGCCTACGGTAGAAATTTACCCTCTACCATCCTGTCATCAGTTACATCATCGCACCTGTGTCAACAGGGCTGCGAGTGCAGAGACAACTGAGCAGGAGGAGTTCTAAATATTCTGAAAATAAATGAAAAAATATAGTGTTTTAAAACACTTATAGAGAGAATAAATCCTCAAAATCCCCCCCTCCCGCTGCACATCACGCAGAGCGTAAACTAGTTTTTTTCACACCCAAGTTGTCAGAGAAAAAACTTGTTTTTTATGTATTGTCACCCACAGAGATGATAAAAAAAGATCTGGACGTTCGTTCAGTTATAAATCCATCTTGCTAATGTAATAGTCAGCTTGTTCTGCTCTGATGATGAAGATGAGAGCGTAACAGAGCAGCAGCCGATAAGTTCAGCAGGCAGAAGCTCATGGTATGGCAGGCAGATATTACATTTATCTGGCTTTACCACACTTACATTCCAGTTATCTGAAATYGTTTTATGACTAGGAGTAAGCACCTTAAAGGCASAGTATGTAGGATTTTGTCAATTCTTTTAGCCGAAATTGAGATAATCACTAATGACAATAATAAAAAACATATCTAATCATTGCAGACAAAGACCTTGTTTTATTATTTTTACCTT